ATTTACCTGTCTCTTGCTTCACTGTACGATTACTCCAAAGGCTTTAACACCTCTGCCGGCTTTCTTCCTCCCTCTCTCCCATCCATCCATTTGATTCTCGCGTCGACCTTACGCGAGAGAGGTCGACTCCCTCGATAAGAGTTCATCGACTCGACTCTTTCATGTTTGTACCCTCGCAAAATTATCTAATGCTGAAACATACATGTTTCAGCCGGCATTTGTGTATCTCAGTGTTTATAGTCTTGGCAATAGATTCTCCCGTGAAAAAACTCATTTGTTCCCCGAGCTCTTCCCGCGAGCTCTATGCAGATAATTAAATGTAAAAGAGTTATAACATCGGTAGATCGCATTCTTAAGCATAATTTATAAACGTTTAAGTTTACGAGATTGCATGCTACCGATTCTCGGCGGATAGATGTTGACATTTTCGGTTAGAAAGTTATGAGGGTACGGCCGATTGAAAGACTGCTCAACGAAGCGTCTTTAATCAGTCTAGTTCACAATTGCGCTTTTTGCGCGTGAGATTAAATGCCGGTTCTAACGACCTAGTACTTTATACGGGGATATGGTCGATGGTGCTCGCGGAATATCCTGCGTTTATCATTCTGTACGAGAAGCAGAGGTCGTAAGATCGAAAGGAGTAGAAGAAGAAGAAGGAAGGGGAGAAGAAGAAGCGGGAGAGAAGAAGAGAGAAGGAGAGGAAGAAAATGAGGAAGACGGCCCGAGGCTCAACCGACTCTGGCCAGAGCCGTATCGGCGGGATTAATGGCAGTGACATCCCGCTCGTGGCCAGATGAGATTCTCCATCTCACCCGCAAGCGAGAGCGAGAGAAACGCGACGCCAGCGAGCGACAAAAATAAAAATAATAATAAAAAAAAGAAAACAGAAAAGGAGAAAGAAAGAGGCATGTGGCAAGAAGGGTTTGAGGGGAGGCAGGGAAGGTCCAGAAAAAGAAGTCAACGACGAGGTGGAGGAGGCGGAGGGCGGTCGATGTGGAGTCGAGTGCGTTGACCTTAGGATTCGACGCGCGTCCTTGAGGATACCAAGATGGCGGGTTTATGCAACCGGTCACAATGGTATCTGCAGGCTGCCGCGCTCCTCGCGTTCTATTTGATGCACGACGATTCGACGCGCTTGCATTCTCGGAGGGATTCTCTTTCTCTCGCAAACGCGTGCGCGCGCGAGCGCTCATGTACCATATATCCAACGTACACCGCACACACGGATGTGACGCGTGTAACAGTGGTCGCCTGTAGAAGCTTCGTACGTGGGTCGCACATACGACCATCACGGACACGAGCCGTTAAAGCCAGTCAGTCCAGTTTCCATCCTTGCAGCTTGCACGGACGGACGAGTCGGGAATATGCGGCGATTCGAAAGGAAATCAAATCCGAGGAAAGGCCAACGAACGGCCTGGACACACCCGGGTATATATACATAACACTGATGTGCTATATGTATACATACATATAAAATCAAATGGAAAAACATACCCGCGGCTTTTGCGATAATTCCTCGAACGTTCGCGCGAATGACGCATCCTTACAGTCTTCCGCGTGGCACGTATGTCTTTGGTTTGTCACTCGTCACGCCGCATAAACTGCTTTCTTACACTATCTCGATTCCATACTTGGTGCGACCGTGATGAACGAATGTCTTTTCTCGTAGTCTGTAAAAGTTGTAGCGCATGCCGATATGCTTTATGTCGCGGTATATCTCTACGAAATAAATCATTCGTTCTTCCATTTCCTCTTTTCAGATCAAAAAATATTAGTGCAAAATACGAATTATATTTTGATGCCACAAGTAGCATAATGTAGCATGGCAAATATTCATATGCCATGTAATTTATTCAAAAGAATGTTCTTGTCTTTCTCTAAAAATTCATCAGCTAAGTTTTGCATAATTACTTTTATAATTTTACAAAGAGAGAAGTTGTGCCCTTTGTTCCCTTGCGAGCATGAATGCGATAAAAAACGTATGTACGCGATACTGACAGTCGGAGTGTAAGAGGCCAGCACCTTTATATCAATGCTCATGTGTATGAGTGACACATTTACGTCCGTGAGCAGTAATACATGCGCATGAACACACATCCGTGTCGCTAGTCCGCACGTCCAAGCTCCTCACACGTGTGTCTGCATATGTAAATGCATACATGAGGCAAGCAGGGATCCTTGATCCTACAGGAATGCAGTGCTAGCGGCTGCCCACGTTGTCTCAAGTACCTCTCTTCGTCTCTTTCCTTCGTCTTTCTCATATTGTCTTTATTTTTTCTTTGTTTTCATGTGGCATCTAATCCCGGTAGGACTAAACATAAAATGCAAGGCACTATCAAACGACAGCACGCACATCTTCGTCATTTTATAACGTCACTTTCGTTGGCATATTATCTCCCCCGTGTCACTTAAAAATAAATGCGGCATATTATTGAACAAAAAATACTAGCTTTTTTGCGTTTTAAAGTTGACGTAATAGACAATAATGTAGGAATAAAAGGTTTCTGAAATTAATACATGTAGACATTTTATAAATATATATCGTGTATCTATTAAAATATTAATTAATTTCTTTTATATGAGTTAATCCTTAATATATATATTTTCGCGCGATAATACTTAAATGAATAATTAAAAATAATTAAAAGAGAATTTGAATTTAATATTTGTACTCAATCGACGTTTTACGATCATATAATAAGCCGATTATGGAATGAAAATGCACTTTCCATCGCCAAACGAAAAGAAACTCAATGACGAGACGCTATGCGCTGTATCTTTTTTTTTTTCTATTCCTGACGAATTACATACGTGCCATTGTTAATTCCCTTCGCTTTAACGTCCGACGAACGAAAGATACACTCGGGTTTCAACTCACTATGTTACTGCCATCGTGTGCGGCTCTCACATGTGATCGAATGAGTCCCCTATAAATAAACTTTTCATACATCAGCGGGGAGAGTGGTCAGCGCAGAATAAAGCACAGGGAGATGAAATCATACCCTGCTCGCCGCAGGATGCACCGTGCATTCGCACCGACGGTGTCCGGTAGCTCGCAGCAGTTTAATCGACGTTCTGCGAGAAACTTTTCCTCCCAGCAGCGCCTGCGTGAGCGCAGTTAAACCAACGCAATAGAGAGACGCGCGTACATAAGAGAAAAGATCATCTCCGATCGTCAAGGTCGACCGCATGCGGCTCGGGGCCTCCTCGCGAAGAAGCGTCGAGCCGGTTGCGGTGAATTCGTTCGACTGTTTTCATCGTCTGGCAGCTGTTATTCAGCCCCGTTTCTCCATAGCATTCGCTGCTCCGCGTCCTGGGGCGCGACCGCTTACATTTATCGATTTAAACCAAGTCTCGATGTGATGGAGCAAATGATGGAGAACGATGTGGACGGAGTCGCCGACGAGGTAACCGACCGCGATAACTTATGAACACCACGAGGAATTCGATAACGCGCGATTTTTTTAATAGAACAACGGGGAAAGGTTATATGCTGACGTGAGCGACGATCATGAGAATTTGGCACTGAGGAGTAAAGAATTTCAAGAAGAAGAGAAGGAGGAAGCGGAAGCGGAAGAGGAGGAGGAGGAGAATGATATATACAAAGCGGATGAGTCTTTTATTCGGGATGAAGAACTGGGGGAACATGATTATGAGGAGGAAAGGCACGGGGAACGGAGTCTCGAGGACGAGGAAATAGAAGAGAAAAGGGATATACCATCTGCGACAATCTCTACCGCGGCAGAAAAGCCCGAAGAGGAAGTGCAAGAAGTGATAGAGCCCGATCACGTGCTCGCTGATATACCAGTCGAGGTTCGCATAAACTTGTCATTCTGCGTCATTCTACCCGTGGAATTACTGTGCCTCACGACCTTTGTAATATTCTAAAGACTTGAGCCTCCCTTTTCATTACGCTCCTCCGCCCGAAAGTATTTCCGCATTGTACACAATTTGTGTTACGTTGTTATTGTGATCGATTAAAATGGTAATAATAAAATGCTTACCCCAAGCATTCTAAGTCTTTTCATAAAAATAATGACGATAGTAATTTAAATACGATAGTAAAATAGAATATAATAAATTATTCACCAATGTTTGTACTGAGATTTAATGTGATTGCCAGTGCAGATTTTTGCCAATCGCGAGACAATGATTAGAAAATTGAAAGAATTTCTAGCCGAACAAGCCGAATTACGAAAGAAAAACAGGCTTCTTGAGGTGTGGATTACCAAGCATATGAAAAAGGTTAAGTACTTTAATAATTTCAACATCTTTATATCTCATAACTGGATATATAAGGATGATAAATTTTATATATATACACAATATATATACATTAGTCGATTTTTATTTTGCACTGCAATTAGCTATACATTTTATTTCTTTTTCTTTTCTGATCTCGTATTGCAATTAAAATAATATATACGTACGTATACACTATAGAGATATTTATTGCTTTTAATAAAAAGAGCTCTCGCCACAATGCATTTACGCATGCAGACGCAAGAGAAAGTGATACCCACGGATGTGACAAAAGAATCCGAGCAAATGGAGCAGAATTATATACAAACGTTGCATACGTATAAATTGCACCTCGATGACGTAATAGAGAAAAGAGTGCGAACGATGGCCGATATGCAAAGTTACGAGGACAAAGCGCGAAAGATGCGCGATGAGAACGCACGAGTATTCGACGAACTCGTAGATCGCGAGAGAGAAGTGGCGACGGGTCTCATTTACGCGAAGACCGGACGAAAGATCACTGAGAAGGCTGTCAACGAGATAACCCGTCGGCAGGTGTAACTTAATGACCGTGAATCATCACTTGTCTATTACAGCAATTATACGGCATACCAATTAAAGCAGCCGTGCGTGCATGTTAGTCGCGAGGCTCACGTGAAGACTTCTTTATTGCCAGATGTCACGACGCGAGATTCTCGCCCGCAATCGTTACGAGTACATCGTCCTGCAGCATCGTTTCGACGAGATGAATACGTTGCTGCGAAATCTGGAAACACTTGGGGAAGGAATGACCACTATGGATTATGAAACTTTATACATCGCTCATGTGAATTATAAGGATAAATTGGATGAACGCGACAGAGAACTAGAAAAATTACGCTACAAGTATGTTAAAACGTGTATTATTTTGTCTTTATATGTACAATATTAATATATCTTAAATATTTCGGAGAATTATATATTATATTAAAACTTGGCTCTTCTGAAAAAATTGTACACGTTCGTTGAACCCTCTTTAGTCATTTCGAAACTATCGATAAAGATCGCGTTTGGCGCTTCGATTTTTGCGCTGGCAACATTTTATAGATTGTATTACTAGTTCAGATAGAGTTATCTGGAGAGATATCTAATGTCGCAGTTTTGTAGTATGAAAGATCTTTGACTTAAGGCAACGAATGAATTATTATCGATATATCTTTCTAATCATCTATTGGAATGAGGGTTTTATTAATAGAGCTTGTTGGCAAATCGAAATTAGAATCGCTGAAGTGGTTAACGGAGTCGCTCACTACAAGGAAAAGGAGACATGCCTCGCGGAGGACATCGAGTTTGAAGAACGCGAATTGGACGAGTATCGCGAACAGACAGCCAGAGTTCGAGAGGATGTCAATAAGCTCCATTTAATTCTGAGAGATTTACGACAAGCTCATGACGAGAGGAGGCTCGAAGGCGGGATGCTGCTGGCTCCGTAAGATCTGTTAGTTTCGTGCGTAGCGATTTCGGTCAATGTCATTCACGGTTCATTGACCCAGGCCGGTGCTGCGTGAGATGGAGAGGATGATAAAGTTGCTGGACGCCTTAAGAAATGACATTGAGATAATCAAGCGCGAGATTCAGCAGTACGGCCCTGCGAACGGGAGGAAGAGGAACAGCAAGGTATTAGCAATATCGATGATGACACAAGGCAAACCGGGTCGTTCCTAATAAATGATGAAGAAATTCTGTAACGTCTCTTTCACACGAGGATTTATTTATTGGCTATATAGTTTTCGTAAAAATACATATGCCGCCTGCGGACATGACGCAAATAAGTACTATGTTTCTTCTTTTTTTTTTATCTTTGATATTCGTCCGTTCGTACTTGTTGCGAAACAAGATTTATAACCAGGCAAGAACGGCGCAGCTGGTCCAATAATTAGCGAATCTCGCGGATTAATCGCCGAGTGATTGATTCTGCGCGCGGGTATTATATGAGAAATAAACCACACTTGTGTAAATCACAAACACGCCCACGTACACCGTATCGAGGCACTTGGCATTGCACGTGAGTGCGATAAGTCGTTCGCATTATCGCCTTCTGTGTGACAGCTTAATATCATACTAACAAATATCATACGGTGATGGTACGACTCGACCAAACAATTGCAACTTTCCTACCTTGTTGCGTGCAAATTACTGTTCACACCGTATCACAATTATGTTATCGCGATTTAAGACGAACTCGTCATTCCGTAATCGTGATTTCACATTATTCATGAAGCCCTTTATAATTATAGCGCTACGGCATATTCAGCGGTACATTAATTGAAAGGATAGGTTTGCTCGCTCAGAAATCAAGGGCCGACAACGGAATATAATTAAAGAAAAAGTTTTCTGCTTGCAACGCACGCGTGTAACGCTATCAAACTCTCAGTTGAATGATTTATATTTGAGGACGCGACGCATTCGCACGATCGAGCCTTTTGAAATCAAATTAATTCGTCCGATCGTGTCAATCCGCCTACGGATGTTTTTATACCGATTCGTTGATCATACAATCGATGCATATTAGTGGACGATTTATTCGTATATCTCAGTCGTACAGGCACACGTTTTCTCGCTGCACACACAGAAACAAGCATGTTTATTAACAATGTATTAATTATGGATTCGTGCAAAAAAAAATAAATAAATTTGCATACAGGTTTTCACCAGGCCTGTCTCGCGTCACACGCGTGACGTCAGTTCGCTCTTAACTCGATTACTGCATTAGAGCGAACGCATGCGTGTAAAGTCCGGCGTACTCTTAACTGTCCATGCATATGGAATGAATCCGAGCAAGGCAGAATAAATTGAGTACGCGTGAGAACATTAATTCTTTCGACAAACGCTTTGCTTTTTTTTTTTTTTTATTCCATTATTAATTATATGCAAAATTCTCGTTTGAGTCTTTGTGGTTTCTTTACTATTTTGAACATTAGAGAAAAGAAAATATTTTTTATAACATAAATCAATGCTAATTAAATTTGCTAAAATAATATAATTTTTATTGCAATATTTATTCTGATTAAAATGCGTCATCTTTATCTTATATTTATTTCTTTGCAACTGCAAACATATTTTTAAAAATGGTTAAAAACGTGATAAAATATTATAGCATTCTCATGGATACAATATTTCTCAGTAAGGTTTCTCATGTCAATATTTTGAAACTTTAGCAGGGTGAAGAAAAAAATCCGTTTAACTTATGTCGTGCTTCCAATTTAGCATGTAAATACCTCGCACCCACGTAACTATCTTCTTATTTGTCGTACACTATCTCATCTTTTGTTCCAGGCGCATAAATGTCGTCTTAGACTTGAAATAATGATTTGCACAGTCTGATCTTTGTTTATATACCTGCAAGAATGAATAGCGACACTGGATCCATCATAAATTTAATCATTGACAGAAGGTTTCATTGTCTTGGATTCAAACGACTTCCCTACGCTTCAAATTTTTCTGTCTTCTTGATCATTTTTTGTTGCCGACAGTTCGTTTTTTTTCAAATTTTTTAATAAATCGCGTTTTTTAAATGCCCAAAGTACATGGTATGGATGCGAAGCTCTTAATTTTAACAAACGACTAACGACTTCTATTATATCACTGAGTAGATTAATAGACTGATTGTGAGTCTTTTAGATATCTTTCTTTTCAAATGTCGGCAGCGAGTTATGTCTTGCTTTTTACAAACTCGATTATGTCCAGTGATTCTTAATGATTATTACATTCTATCCGTTTCCCTCGAATTCCCTTGACATCTCGCACTGTAGTTTCGAATCACCGAGGCAGGTTTCTACCCGCATAAACGACCGAGGTTTCGTAATTCTTATTACAGGCGCGGATGAGTTAGTGGAATAGCGTTAGATTAGCAAACGCGTTTCATTGTCAGCATGTGGGTAGTCCCATTCATTCATCCACCCACCAAGGCACGGCGTAATTTCAAAGATTCTAAAGGTTATCCGTACAAATATATATATATATATATATATATATATATATTCTCGCATGCGGGCGCGCGCGATCGCAGGAGCGCGAGAAACCGTCAAAAAAAGGATGTTCATTAATTTCACGTAGGCGTAGAATTGACTTCGGCGACGAGATAAAATCGAGCGAGGGTGTATCTCCCGCCATGTCATTCGCGTCGGAAGGGCGAGGCAACGATGCAGGGGAGACTGCTTCGCATGATTTGGGGCCAATTAGGGCCGGCGTTGAAGCCATTAATCCCTTTTGGTAATTTGTCCGTACCCGGAATTGATTTAAGACCGACGCGTGGATCGAAGGTAAGACGGATGGCTCCGTGTAGAGCACGAGAAGAGGTGACGTGTCAATTAAGCTACCCTACAATTCAGCGGAAAATTATGTACGGAGGCCACGATACGTGGCACGATAAATCACGGCCGGTTTCTCAAATGCTTTTCGATTTGATGATTATTATTCATGCGTGTTCGATAATGTATGTGTCGTGGTGCTCCTCGAATGCAATACAATATCCGATTGCCCGATGGCCGTTTAATCGCGTCGTTCAGACTCGTTGCCAATCGTTTTTTATTAATTGCTCGAAAAATCATCCAGGCTGTTTCCGCGACTTTCAACGTTGAACTTGTATATTCATGTTACTGCAATATCCTCGGGATTAAGAGGATGACAAAGATTTTTTCGGAAATTTTCATTGTTCGAAGACCTGCGACATTTTTTCATGGCTTTGTATTCTGTACCATTATTGAATAGTCCCACCGTCAGGTAGAAAATTCATATTGCGAGATTCTACGAGTTTCTACCTGCGTCTTCTGAAAACTTTGTCTTTTACCTCCAGCTTGTTCGTTTCAAATTTTTTTTCTTTTCTTTTTCTTTTTGCTTCTCATGTGATATTCTTTTTTTTTATATAGGGTGAATATTTTTTTCTTATTTCTATTTTATTTTTCGTTAATTGTTAAGTCTCTTCATGCAGCTTCAAAAGATCTGTCTTTGATTGAATCAAATGCTTTATTACTTCTATTGTTATTATTACTAGTACTATTATGATTACTTTGTATTTTTGCACCATTGTTTATGTTTCACAAAATTCCGTAATTTTTCTACAAAGCAGATTTGCAATATATTAGACATACAAAATATTATTAACATTTTTGTTTCTTTTAATTTTAACTCGCGTTCTCCTTTCACGGGCATGGTTATAAAGTTGTCTCGTTTCTTTCTTTGCTTCGTTTCTCTCTTTCTCTATTTTATTTGCTTTATCAACATAACACGTGTCAAAGTTCAATATCTTTGGTAACAAACAAATGTATATCACGTAAATTGAATAGCTGGTCCAAAGCAAAAGTATGCAAAACAAAGAGAAATCTCCCGGCATAACTTTCCGGGACATCGGGTGCATTTGCATTTGTTTTGCATACATTCCGTTGTATGATCTAACTATGGTATGGACTTTCATCTGTTTACCATAAAAAGTTATAGCTATCTAATCCCGATAGAGAGATCCCGCGGCTGATTTCGCCCTTTCTCGATCGTTCCCAAAGTCGATCTATCTATCGATCTCACGGCTCTTTATCCGGTTCGAATTGGATCAAGTCAATGAATTTTTCCGCATTAATGCCGATTTTGCAGTAATTCATCGCGTCCTACAATTCGAGACTTGCTAGTGAATGACTAATGTTATACTTAGTAATCGGCGTGACGTTTTCAATTCAGGCTGTACACGATCGCAAACGAAGAAGAATGCAAAACTGCAACGGGAGAACGGTCGTAAATTTCTTAATCAATTTAATGTCTTTGCTGAACTATGTATTAGAACTATTGTATAACAAATTGTAATAAATTGTAATCTATAGCGTCATGTTTTACGGGCCGTGATGTCACGTGTTAGATTCACTTTATAAAATCGATAAAAGTCGACAGATTGCCTTAGCTAGTTGGTGCAAAGCGCTCTCGGTCCGCCTTTTCTATCGCACACGAATTTTGCGAAAGGTCGAGCGTAACGCGGCAATTACGCGAACGCGGAACCCTTCTGTAAAAGGGAAAACGCAGGAATCATGTTCACTCTCAAGGTCGACCGGTATCCTACCGGCCCCTGCCGCAGCCTGCATAACGCGTTTCTATTACGCGGTCAATTGCAGCGATTGTTGCGTGTCTCTCGCAATCAGTGGCTCTCGGTCTACACGTGCTCCGTATCTGCGCGCGTTTCTTCTCCCTTCCCTCTTCTATCTTGTCTGTACTTTTGAGGGATTCACGATGCGATTATTTATTCTCGATGGCATTAAAACAAATTGACAAAATATCGAGCATTTTAATCGCGACAAATTTATAATCTCCGATTTTTGAAAGCTTTGCTTTCAATTTCTTCGGACTCGCTTGCGGAAATCTATCGCCATTATTTTAATCACGAGATAAAACGATCTCGAGCGAGACTAATTTTTCGAAAAATTTCGTTGAAACCGCTCACGAAGAAGGTCGGATGATCTGCCCTTCCTTAAACCAGTTATGCGACACAACGGTTTCTTTCGGGGCTGATTGCGCGCACGAAAATGGCGTAATCATCGTGATTAACGAGGAAATCATGTCGCCGTTCTCGTCGTTTTCTTTCGTCGTTGAGCCTCTAATTGGAACACGTCGGCGTTCGAGAGACTGCGGTCACCGTATTGAAGCG